CCAGGTGCTTTAGGCAGGGCAGGCTGAGAGCAGGGACTGAGCAGGGTGGTGGATGTGCTGCTGTAAACATTGGTCAGTGGCAGGCTCACAAACCTGGTGTGGCATACAACAGACAGGGCACCAGGAAACAATTTTTGAGAGGTGCTAGGCAAAATGTATGTAAAAGTTGGAAAAATCCCAAAAGAGGATTGATCTTGGAGCTGCCAGTTCTTGATGATATGTCTGTCTTCTCAAGTCCATCTGACTCCCTGTGAAGACAATACAGAGCCAAAGCCTTCTGCTGTCCAAGGCCAATTATGATTTTTGGTTTAGTTTTTCATGCTAGTTGCTTTTTGAGGCTGTTGGCAGAGCACTGGCATGCAGCTGGACTCTCCAAGCAGTTGTCAGGGTCATGGAAACCTCTGCACTGTTTTGGTCATGGGTGGTTCTGCAAGTGACAAGAAATCCCCCCTTCATTAACACTTCATCTCTCTCAGTGGTTTGTACAGGCAGAGGGTTTGTTTGAGAAACAGTTTTATTTCAGGCAGCTGATTACAGGGTGCTGGGATCAGTGTTCTGGGCATTGCTGGGGCAGAGGAAGGCCAGCAGGAGACCTTGGTGGGTGCAGGATTTTCTGTGCTGCCTTCTCAGACAGCTCAAGGCTTTGGGTTTTCTTACATGGATTAAGTGGTTCCACACAGTCTCTCTGATGTGGTGCTCTATAAACCAAGGGATGCAGCAGGTGGAGAGATGTGTTTGCACAGGAATTGCAGTGATTTTGGTAGAGGAGTGGAGGTGCAGGACATCAGAATGGAGCTCACTGATGCAGGTGGTGTCTGTTGTACCGGAGATTTTTTTTCCTGCTGGCTCCAAGCCAAATGTGCCTCACAGACTTGAGTGCTGGAGTACTCCAGTGCTTTCCTGGCCCAGTGGGAAGTAGAAAGAAAAGATAACTCAAGGTCCATTACTCCATAAAAGCATCCAGGCTCCATAAACACAGTCCCTTCAGGAATTAACATCCTTTCACTGTAAGCACCTGCCAGATTGTACCAGTGTTGGTGGATGGAGCCACAGCTTGCTGAGTGTGGGCAAAGCAGGGCTGATCCCCTTCTTCCAGTGCTGCTGGCTGACTCTGGGGCATTAATGAGGAACCAGAAAACACAATGTGTGACTGAGCTTTTCTCTGTGACTTCATGTTTGATGGCCACCCTGTTGTGTGCTGCACGTGAGCCCCAGTGCTCACCCAGTGCTCACTGACTGGGGCCAGACTGAGTGCCTGGGCCCTGTGGAGCCAGGCTGGGACAGGGGCTCTGTGTAACCTCTCCTGCTTTGTGTGTGTGTGGGGCCAGGCTGGAGCAGGGCTCTGTGTAACCTCTGTGTAATCTCTCCTGCTCTCCCTCTCTGTGGGGCCAGGCTGGAGCAGGCTCTGTGTAACCTCTGTGTAACCTCTCCTGCTCTCTGATTGCAGGCCCAAGAGTGAGTACTCGGAGATTGATGATGAGGATGCTCAGGCTCCCTACGACCCCAATGGGAAGCCAGAGAGGTGGGAGCTCAATGCAGTGCTGCTGCAGCTGGGAAAGGGGGTGACTGGTTGGGTGCATCTCATGGGCTCTCATTAATAAAGAGTGCCTACACTGTGCTGAAATTGCCAGCCCAGGGAGCTGACATTCCCTGAAAAGCAGGGCAGGAGTTGCTGTTAAGTGGTGATATAGCTGGATGTGGCAGGTTTTCCCCTCTGGGAGATCCTAGACAGTTCTCCTGAGTTCATGTTGCTCAGTGAGGTGTGAGGCCTGTGGGGGAAATACCCTGGCTGAAGGTGTTCATTCACCTGTGTGTGTCTCATGCTCTGATTGCTGGTGTTATTTGCACTGCAAAAGCACCTCAGCCAGCCTTAGTCTCTGGCTTGGGGGACTGAGTGCTGAACAGAAATCAAGCTCAGAAGTGCTCTTACAGCCTTGTGAAGTTGTGAGTGTTGGTGTGAGGGTTCTAGAGGGGCAGCACCGGCTGTTGCCTGCTTGGGAGGTGAATGATGATGATGATGGTTGGGATTGCTGGCAGATCTCCCTGCTGTGGGTGTGGATGGGCTGGAATGATGTGCAGTCTGGGTTTGCACCTCCTTGCACAGGTGATGGTGACTTCACTCCTGCCTTGTAACCTCAGGTTCTATTACAACGTGGAGTCCTGCGGCTCCCTGCGCCCCGAGACCATCGTCCTGTCTGCCCTGTCCGGCCTCAAGAAGAAACTGAGCGACCTCCAGACACAGCTGAGCCACGAGATCCAGAGTGATGTCCTCACTATCAACTGAGGTGGCCCTGGCTATAGAGTACTGAGCTGTGAGTGATGCCTGGCTGAGATCTGGGAGAGGCTTTTACCTCTCCATCTCTCCCTCTGCCATTCCCGGCCCAGCACTTGGTTGGTGGCACCTCTTCCCTGGCCCTCCTTCCCAGGAAAAGCCATTGTGATGTGTAGGGTAAAACACGAAGGGAATTGGTGAGCATCTTAGCTGGGACAGGCTTTGTCTTCAAATGATCTTGGAGTTTTGGTTCTGGTGTTGGATTTTGGCCACGTGGTGTTTGGGATTGGGAAGCGTGTACCTTTGTTACACAACCCTACCTTATTTACATGTCCATTCTTTACTGTGCTGAATAAAGCCTTACCCCCAATTTTTCTGTCATCCCTGGAAGCTCATTCAAAGCTGCTGGAGGAGATGTCACATCATTTACTTCTCTCCAATAGACATTAACTTAATGAGATGTGCTTTGGAGGGAGCATTGCTCACTGATGCTGATTGCTGCTTGTGACATTATCTCCTGAGGAGAGCAGCACCCTCCTGCAGGCAGCCCGTGGCTCATTGATCCAGGGCTGTGTGTAAAGCACATGTTTGAGGCTGGGGTGGGCGAGAGCTGCAGAAGGCAGCACTGCAGGGGAGCACAGCTGGGCAGGCAGGCAGAGCTGTACTTACAGAATCCTCTGGAACAGACTCCACCCCTGTGCTGTAGAACCTTTTTCTGGGAGCTGGGTGGCACATGGGCTGTCAGTAATGGCCCCTGGCTGATGCCTTTCTTTGTGCCCACAGCCCCCAGTGTCTGCTGGGCTGGAGTTTGGTGCAGGTCCCATGCCCTGACCCCCCTGGCAGTGGCTGAAAGCAATGGCCTTTGTCACCCCTCCTCTTCCCCTTCATCACTGCCCAACATGACTTGGGATCAGCTTGGTGACACTTTCTGGAGAGAGAGGGGAAAGTCTGTGTGCCCCCGTGCTCATCCTGGTATGGATGGGGATGGTTCAGGGTCACCCTGAGCTGGGGAGAGCAGCCCATGTCAGCATTGCCTTCCCCTCCAGGCACAAGCTGCTGCAGCCAGGCTGCTGCTTCCATTTCCTTGCCATGGCAGAGCTGGCTGCAGCATGGCTCTATGTCCCCATCCCTGGAGGGATCACTGTGCTGGCTGGCATGGCTGTCTTACCTTGAGGCCAGTGCTGCCAGGCAGTCATGGCATGGATAGCTTACCTGGCACAGCTCTGGGAGAGCTGGGAGATGGTGTGCCTTGAAACTCCTTCACCTGGGGACTTGGAGCCACCACTGGCCTGGCACATCCCCAGAGCCACGGGCAGCTGGAGGTCAGGGTGACAGGGATGCTGCATCCTGTTCCACTCAGGGTTGTTTGATGGAGAGTGGCAACTCCCTTTACCCTTCTTCCTATCCCAATGGTTTTAGGGCTTCACTTGAAATGTCTTGGCCATAGCTGGAGGCAGAACAAAGCCCTGAGCCGAGCATGCTGCCAGGAACCTCAGGAAATCTCCCCCATCAGCATTTTTCTCTCTGGCAGGCACAACTCCCACTCGCGCTTCCCGAGCGCGCTTGGATGGAACAGACAAACAGGAAGGGTGGATGTGGATAAGGGTTGTTTATTAATTGAGCAACTCCTTAAAAAACAGAAAACCCAAACGTTTTTGGTAACAAATGTTAAATCTTTTCCAGATGAGGTGTGTAGCCAGGAAAAGAGGGCAAGTTCCACCTCTCACCCCAGGGAGGACTCACTGCTGGGCAGTGCTGGGGTCCAGAGCCCCTCTGTGCACAGCCACGTTGCGAGGAGCAGCCTTTCCCTGTCCCCATGTCCCCTCTGCCACAAGCTACACCACCCTGAAACACAGTATTTACAGACCACAGATTCCCACATCACAACACTCCCTGTGCCCAACACGTGGACCTGGAGCTTTAAAGGGCAGAAATAAAAACCACCAAGCATCCAACCCAGACGGAAAGAAGACTCCAAAGAAACACCAAGGTTTGCACGGCAATAAAAAGATAGCCCTTCTAAAGGAGGTCAATAAATAGGAGAACTAGAAAAAATCAATTGCTTTTTAAGTTCAGCACATAAAGCCCAGTTCCACCCCCAGTGGGTGAGGAGGAAGTGAGGGCTGTGGGAATGCACAGAGGAATGTGGCTCTCTCCCCATCAGCATGGGTTTCTCTGCCCTTGGGCTTCTCATATCCACAGAGCTGCCCCTTGAGAGACAGATGCTACTGGCCAAAACCAGTCCCATGGTTGCCCACCAGCAGATAAACCAGGGGCATGGCAGGGGGACACAGCTATGGGAGGAGTGAGGGGTGTGGGGTGGGAGAAGCCAGGGAGCTCGGCTCTGCCTGGCCATTCACCCCAGCCAACCCCCCTGGAAGGAAAACCAGTTTCTCCTGAGACATATCAATTCTACAGCGAGCATTTAAATAGCTTGAAGAAGTGCAAAAATCAGCTCAGGGATGGCAGGGTGTCCTCAGAAGCACCCTACTCTTCATGGAGGGGTGGGACCCTGCACCATCAGCCTGACACAGCTGCATCCTCCGACGCTGCTCCATGGCCATGGCAGAGTGATGCTCCATGCAGAAAACTCCAAATTTCTTGACCCCCCCGCCCCACCTCTCTTCACCTCCCAGTTGGATCCCTAAGAGTCAAAAACCTCTGGGCATCTGCCCAAGGGCTCTTCAGCAGCCACCGCATTTGCATTCATGTGAGAAGGAAATATCTCTTACAATACAGGTATTCAATATATATTTGAAGTCAGTTGAGGCTGAGCCAGCCATCGCCTCCACTAACGCCAGCCCAGGGCGTGAGCCAGTGCCTGCTTCCCAAGGCCTTGGCACCCAGCTCCCCCAGCTCGGGCTCCTGGGGATTCTGAGGGGTCACTGCCTGCGTCCTCGCCACCCCTTGGAGAAGAAAAAGGGGACCCCTGCCACAGTCCCCCCGCACCAGCTCATGGGGACGATGTGGGCTCCCTGTCTTCAGGCTTGTCGCTTTTGGAGGACTTTGGCTTCAGCAAGATGAACCTGTTGAGGAGGTCGGTGTCCGAGCTGGCCTGGGCACCTGCATACGCCTCCCCTGGGGGCAAAACAGAGGCTGGGCTCGCCTGGTGGGGAAAGCTCTGAGGGCTGGAGGAGCAGCATCTCCTCGGTGTGGGGTGGGGACACTCACCAGCATAGCTGGAGGACTCGGCCATGTTCTGGGAGCCGGTGATGTGGTGCCAGTAGGCGCTGCGGGGCAGCATGGTGGTGGGTGTGCAGGGATAGGAGAAGTGCTCAGTGCCCTTGTTCAGCAGCTGCAGTGGATGGGGGGAGGAGGGTGATACAGAGCCCCCAGAATCTCCCCCAGCCGTGTCCCCCCTCAGCATGGGCTGGAGCTCACCCTGACATTCTTCTCCATCTCCAGCAGGACCCTCTTGTGCTGCTCAGCGATGGCCAACGTGGCGCTGTGCACGCGCTGGTAGATCTGCTCACCCTCCTGCGTCTGGAAGGTGTAGAGACCTTCTCCTGCATCACACATCCTGTGGGGACAGGGCACAGCATGTCACCAAGGTCTTCAAGCCAAGGCATGATGAACAAAACCCACCCAGGTGACAGCTGGGGCAGCTTCCCTTACTGTTAGAGCTGTGCCTAGGTGCAGATCTGGGACCAGAACCAGCTCCAAGCCCTGCCTGCCATGGGCACACTGCACAGCCATGGCCATCACCCCTGTGGTGATGCCAGCAGTGCCACTGCCTGCCCACCCAGCTGGAGGAGGGCACACATGATCCTGTCCTGGCAAGGGTGCCACCTCACCGTCCAGCCTCGAAGGTGAAGCGGGTGGCGTCGCGGCCGTAGCGGCGCAGGGAGCAGAGGGGCCAGGAGAGCAGCTTCACCCGCGGGTTGTGCGTGTCCCAGAGGTAGATGTTTTCGTGGGTGATCTGCAGCTTGCACTCGCCATAGACGTCCAGGTTGGGGCAGGGGAGGAGGAACACGTTGAACCGGTCTGGAAAGAGGGGAAAAAAAAATAAAAGAAAATAAAATAATCAGCGGGGGGTGCAGCAAGGCGGAGCCCCGGGCGAGCACTCCCCGCCGCGCTCACCCGTCTGCTCGCACTGCACACCGGGCGCCAGCAGGTCGGGCTCCCCCAGGCTGATGTCGTTCAGGCGGGCGCCCAGGCACTCCACCGACAGCGTCTTGTACCACTCCTCCGCCTCCAGCTCTGCAAGGCACCACGGCAGCCCCTGGGCGACCCTGGCCACGCCGGGTGCCCCACCCAGCACCCTCGGCCCGGCTCCCCTGGGCGCTGCCCCGCACCTGAGTCGCAGGTGAAGGTCCGGGCGGAGTCGTCGGTGAAAACGATGGCCACCGCCTGTCTCTTGGTCTCCTTGGGCAGCCGCGTGATGCACTTGACATTGCTGATCTCGGTGACCTGCGGAGGAGCTGGGGGGTCACCGAGGGCTGCTCCAGACCCCAGCTGCTGCTCCCAGCCCCTGTTCCGACACCTGCAGCGCCCGGACCCAGCTGCATCCCCTCCGGAGCATGGGGTGACAGGCACCCAGCGAGTCCAGGCAAGGCAGGAGCTGTTCTGGCACGGCTCCCCGAGCAGCGGCAGCCCCCCATGACCCCTCCAGCGCACCCCCTCACCTTGGGGCACCCCCGCAGGCACGCTGACTTCTCATCCGGGTATTTCTCCAGGCGCTGGGGCCCTTTGCTGGAGGATTTGCGGAAAACCAGCCAGCAGCGCCGGTAGATCTGCCGGACAGAGAGCGGCGGCTGCTCGGTGCCACAGGGGCTCCCTGTCCCCACCACAGCCCCGGCCCCATCCCCAGGCCCCGCGCCTGCTCCTGCTGACCCTGCTGGCCTGGGGACAGGAGGGGATGCTGGGGACAGGGCTGTGCCCGGGCTGCCATCATCCGCCCCCACCCCCCGCCAGTGCTAATTACAGAGCTTAATTAATGAGCACAGACAAAGCTCCCAAGGGGACCGCTGTTCTGGCATTTCCCCGTCCCCTCTCCTGCATCCCCTGCCTCTGAGGGTGGTGGGGCCACCGTCCCCAGGCATGTCCCCCTCCCCTGGATCCCGCTCCCTCTTTGTTCTCCCTAATTAGCATGAAATTACCCAGCATGCTCGTTGCTGCGGCTCCAAACCACGGAGATGGGCGACCAAACCCCTGACCCCCCCACCTGTGGGTGCTGCACCCCCACACCACCCGAATTTGCACCCAGCAGCTCCAGCCCCTCCCGGTGCGAGGCATCCCCCGTGCCAAACTGTGTGTGCAGGGAAACTGAGGCACGGGGGAAGGGAAGGCTCACAGGCATTCCCCAATCCCTGGGTGACCTGGGACAGGTGAACGGGTGTTGCTCGGTGCAGGATTCGGCCAGTGCAGATGCTGCACCCCTGGGGCTGCTGGGTGATTTGGGTACCAACAAGTGGCCCGTCCCTGCCATCCCCCACTGCTCTGCCACCACAGCCCCCAAAAGCTGCTCATTCAACCCCAAAACAGGGGCACAGGGAGCCACAAGAGGGACCTGGCCACGTCACGTTATTGGGAAACCAGCACCCCAAATCCACGGGTGTTGCCCTCCACATCTCCCCATTCCCCAAGATCTCCACTCACCCCCAGCTTCTTGCTCTTCATCCTCACATAGCCCTGCTTGATGATGTCGTTAAAATTCGTCGCCATGGCGATGGCTCGATAGGGTAGGGGATATTTTGGGAGGGGGGGGCTGCCTTCACCTTCGCCCCCCCCTCTCCATCCTCTTCCTCCCTACCCCTCCTGTCTCACCACCGGCCCAGCTTGGTGCTAGCAGCGTCCCCCATGCTGGCTGGAAAAGAGAAATGACAGATCGACGGGTGACATCTTCCTCGTCCTCCTCCCCCTCCTCCTTGTCGTCCTCCTCCTCCTCCTCCTCCTTCCCCTCCTCCTCCTCCTCCTCCTCCTCTTCCTCCTCCCTTCTCTGCCTGAACCATCCGAGTGGAACAGTCCGGTGTTAACCCCTGCCAGCACGGCGGAGCCAGGGTGGCACAGACCCGCGGTCAGTCCCTGCCGCCAGCTCCAACATGTGTCCGAGGGGACACCGCACCACAGCTCGCCCGCCGGTCTCCATTACCTCGCACTCCCCTCCTTCCTCCCAGGCTGCTCGGCTGGGCAGCAACACGGCCCCGGCCCCTGGCACGGGCTGGGTGCGGTGGGAGCGGCCAGGCCGGCTCTGCTCGGGGCTCTTTCGGCCGGCACCGGGGGCCAGAGGGACCCCGGCTCCCAACCTCGCCCCCCGGTGTCACCGAGCCTCGGTCCAGCCCTTCCTGAGCTCAGCCCGGTCCCTGCAGCTCCCCCAGCCCCCGCCGGCGGCACCAGGTGCGGACCGGGTTCCTTTGCCAGGTGGAGCAGTCCCAGCGGAGGCAGGAACCCAGGAGACAGAGCAGGGCCATCCCCGGGGATGCTCCCCCATGGCAGCGACACCCGGGTCCCCAAAGCCCAGCGGGGGGATCGGGCTGGGACAGCGCCTTGGGGACCGCGGCTGTCCGAGAGAGGCTGCGTTCCTGTGGGGGAACACCCCCCATTCCCCATTCCCCCATTCCCCATTCCCCCATTCCCCATTCCCCCATTCCCCATGGCCATCACCCACCCGCGCACACCAACACCCCAGGGAACCCAGAGCTGCTGGGGGGCACCCCCTGCCCCCTGCCCCCCACCTGTCACCTGTCACCCCCACACCCGGCACCCCCGGCCCCATCACCCATCACCCCCGCTCTCCCACCGGGACGTCCCTCCGGCCGTTGTCACCTCCCTCCCGTTTGCCCCGACGCTTGTCAGCCCAAACCTCGGTCCAGCCCCGTCCGGTGTGCCCCGTTCCCCGCCGCTCCCGCCGCCTTACCGGCTCCCGGTGCGAGCGGAGCCTCCGCGTCCTGCGAGCCCCGGAGCGGCTCGGCCCCGCCCGGCCCCGCCCCGGCCCCGTCCCGGCCCCGCCCCGGCCCGGTCCCCTCCCTCCACCCCCGGGCTGCCCAACCAGAGCCACAACCGGCCGCCCTGGAAAGAAAATTCCATCATTGGGCTCTGGAGGGAACAGCCCGCAGCGGCTGCCGGGCGGCGGCAGCAGCCTCGCGTCCGTCCCTCGGCTCAGGTGTCACCGCAGCCCCGCTCCGCGCCCCCAGACCGGTGCCAGGCATTCACTAAAGCTGCCCCCGGGCACCCTCGCGGGCTCACTTGTTGGGCTGTAAAAATGTGAATAATCGCTGGAAATAAAAGGGCATTAAAAAAACCCCATGAGCAGCAGCAAAGAGCTGCGCTTTTAGCCAATCAATTAAAAGGCAGAGCGAGGGGATTAGCTCACCGAAATATTAATTTTTAATAAGGTTGTGTCTGAGCGCCTCCAAAGCCCCCAAGGCCCTGTGCTGGGGGGCTGGGCTGAAGGGGCTGTGCTGGGGTGAGCAGCAGCCTCAGGTGAGCAGCTCTGCACCCCTGGGTGAGCACCTTTCACTGCACAGGCCCAGGGACAGGCTTTACCCCACACCGGGCTGGAATCCAGCCATGGGGACAGCAATGCCAGTGGGTGACATCCAGGCCCATCTCCCTGATGTGTCCCCTCCCACCCTCCCTCCTGTGTGGGAACAGACCAGCAGCTCACACCACCACCAGAGCCTGGTGCCCATCTGGGCTCTGTATTTATAATAAAAAAATCATATACAAATACATACATATATATAATATATATAAAAAGAAGTGGGCAGTTTGTGGCTGCCAAGCTTGGTGCCTCTCTTGGCCTGCGCCTCCTCCTCCTGGGCTGCTCGGTGATGCTGGCTTTGGCGGCCACACCAGTGTCCCAGGAGATGCCAGTGGCTGAAGGGCCACCCAGTACTGTCCAAGAGGCGGTGGGCTCTGGAGCACCCCTGGGCAAATTCCTCCGCACCGCTCCGTGCCTCAGTTTCCCCCTCTATACAAGGATCACCGCACAGCTGGGCCCCGTGGTGACACACTTGAACGCAGGGGACTGATGTGGCACGTCCTGCGGTGGTGGCACCGCCCTGGGCTCTAGGGCACCTGGATCTGCAGGTCCTCATCCTCGTCGGGGTCGCTGGTGCCGTCGCCGGCGTCGTCGGGGCCGAAGCGGGCGCTGCGCATCTTGCCGAACAGCGGGGCGCTCTGCTGGCGCCGCAGCCTGCAGGGACAGCTGCTGGGCTGGGGGCAGCCTGCACTCCCCTGCACCCCCGACAGCATGGCTGCACCCCAGAGATCCCTCCCTGCAGCCCTCACTGAGCCCTGAGCTCCCCCACTGCCTGGGGCCAGCTGGGAGCTGTGGATGGGGCACAGGCTAAACCCCTCCATGGATGGGCATCCCTGTGCTGGGCAGCAGAGAAGGGAGGTGTCATCCCCCTAAACTGAGGAACCCTCAAAACCCAAGAACCCTCCGTCCCCAGGAGCCTGCGGTGGTTTTAGCTCTTTGCTTGCCCTGTGGTGGTTTTAGCTCTTCACATGCCTTTGTGTGAAAATTCATCCAGAAAATTTTATGAATCAAATTTGAAATCTAAAGGCCAAGGATCCAGTGAGATCCAACCAGTCCACCACACTTTACTGGAAAGCATGAATTATTTAGGGTTGATTGCACAGGGAGTCTGGGGTGGGGGGGGGCGATGAATCCTCCATTATGCTTCCATGATTTAATGCAGATGTCCCAATAAAATAAAGGACGATTATAAACACCCCCCCAGCGCCTCCTGGAGCCACGGCATCGATCCCACGGCCATTTCAGCTCTTTACTGCTGGAGAGGCAAAGCAGGGCTGGGGAAAGTTTTAAGGGCAAGAAACCTCAGCTCCCACCTCCCCAAACCGGTGTGGGATTGCCAGCAGCCTGCCCTGGCTGTGGGTACTAGTGGGTGCAACCCTAAGCAGCATAAAACTGGGCTGTGCCGGTCTGTGGGCAGCCTCGTGCTGGTTTAACTGGGAGGTGAATGCCACCCAGCTCAAGGTGGGGTGAAGACAGCTCAGAGGATGGCTGTGCCCCTCCCGAGGGTGTCACGGACACTTGGGCCATGGGTTCAACCAGGCAGATGCTGGCTGAGGGATGGTGGCAAGGAGAGCGTCATCCCATCCTGGCTGGTCCCCACGTGGCTCCCCCAGCCCCTGCTCACCGTGACTGCAGGTGCTCCAGCTGCACCTGGAAGCTCTCGCTCTGCTCCGTCTGCTCGTCCAGCGACCGCTGCAGCTTCCGCGTCTGGTTGTGGGCCTCATCCAGCTGTGGGGTGGAATGGGATGGGATGGGGTGGGATGGGATGGTGCTGTTAGCAGCTGTGTGGGGAGCAGAACAGCTCCCTGAGCTCCTCCACCAGCGTGAGCTTTCCCACCTCATCCTCAGCCTGGGCCAGCTCCTTCTTCAGCTCCTCCACCCTGAGGCGCAGCTTCTTCACCTCCCCCTCGTGCTGCTCCACGCGGCGGTTGGCGTGGGCCAGCTCGGCCATCTTCTCCTGGTACTGCTTCTTCAGCTTGGTGTGGATGTGCTTCAGGTCAGCCAGCTCCTGTGGTGGGCACGGGGAGGGGGCTGAGCATGGGACAGCCACCCCCACCATGGGTGTCCCCTCCTCCCTCCCCAGGGGTCTCTCCCATTGTCCCACCCCATGACCCAGGAGCTGATGGAGCAAGTATGGGATCACCACCATCCCTTGAAGAGTGATGGCAAAATTTGGGCTTGAGGGAGTCTTTGGGGAGGCTGAGCCCCACAACAGCCACCCAGGGATGCGGTGGTGCGGGACACCTCCCCTGTGGCACCTTGTTCTTCTCGAAGAGCTCAGCCTGGATGGTTTTGAGGTCAGTGTCCAGGGCACTGGCTGTCTGGCGCCGCTTGCGAGCCAGCACCTCCTCCAGGTCCTCGATCTGTGCCCGCAGCTTCTTGTTCTCCCTCTCCAGGTTGAGCTTCTCGGTCTCCAGCCGCTCCCGCCGGCCCCACTCAGCCGCGTTCTCTGCCTGCAGCCTCTCCATCTGGGATAGGGCAGGGGGTGGCTGGGGGGCAGCAGGAACCCCTCTGTGCCCCCTCAGGCCCCCAGGCTGGGGTCTGGCCTCACCTCTGCACGCAGCTCAGCCAGTTTCTTGTCCATGCTGGAGCGAGCCCCCAGCTCGTCCTCCAGGTCCTCGGAGATGCGCCCCAGCTCGTCCTGGTGAATCTCCTTCAGGATGTTGAGCTGTGGTGGGACATGGCACCAAAGGGGGCTGTGAATGTCCACCTTCCACCTGGGCCCTGCCCACACACATCCACCCAACCTCTACAGATGGACCCTCTGCATCACTAGCACTAATGAAAATCCCTTAACAAGCAGCCTGGAGTTGGGAAGTGGCTGTGGGCCACCATGTCCAGCAGGATGTGCCACCCTGTGAGGGACAGGCCACCCCCTGGAGCAGCTCTGTCCCCAGGCACCTCGCTCACCTGCTTCATCACCTCCTGCTTGTTCTTGTTGAGCTCCTCATACTTGATCTTCCACTGGCTGAGCTCGCCCTCCAGCTTCTCAATGTTCTTGCTGAGCGCCAGCTTGTCCCTGGGGAGAGGCAGTGACAGTGACAGCCTGCAGGACCCATGGGACGTGCCACCCCAGCGGGGACCAGGCTGGCATCAGCTGGCAGCCTGCAAGGACGATGCCCCAAGCACTCACTCCCTCTCCTTGAGCAGCACTTTTTGGGACTCGTCCAGCCTGAGCTTCAGGGCGGTGACTTTGGTGGCGTCCTCCTCCGCGGCGCTGACGTCCTCCCAGAGCAGGCGGCTCCGCTCCTGGCGGCTGAAGGAGGCCCGGGGGCCCCGCTGCTCCCAGCTCTCCTCCTGCTTGCTCGGCAAGATGTTTTCCATCAGCTCCAGCTCCTGTGGCGCCGTGGGTGGCCCAGCACAGGGGACAGGGTGAGAGGGCTCCCCAGCCCTACAGCACCCAGCCCTCACCCCATAACCAAGGGCACCTCTCCTTCCATCCCCAGGGATCCCCTAAGGCTGATGAACAGGGACTTGCCCTCCCAGGGGAGCTCCCACATGTCACCACACTCTGCTGCCAGCTCCCTGCCATGCTGGAGATTATGTATCAAAAAATTTAAACCAGTTTATGACACTGATCTCACCCAGGACTGCCACATGAGTGACCTTTTACCAGGAGCTCTGAGCACACAATAAATGAGCAGCAGGGGGTTCCAGGGGAGAGGATGTCCCTGGGGACCAGTGTGGAGCCTGTGGGGGATGCTCACATTAGCCTCAGATTTGTCACTTGGCAGCTGTGCTGTCAGGTGGACATGTCACAGCATGGCACCCCGAGCAGTGACTTCTGTGCTGTGAAAGAGCTAACAGCAGCACAGGAGGGATGGCTGCAGCAGCTGGGGTAATGCCTGAGGTGGCTCTAGTGTGGATCCCCCCTTCCTCCTCCTCCTTCTCCTTCCTTCAGCAAAAACCCTGCCAGAAGCCCATAGGGACACCCTGGCAATCAAGCTGTGGCTGGGAGATGCCACCAGCACTGCCAATGCCACCATCCCTGTACTGGCACAGTGATTTTTGCCTAGTGCCCCCAAAGGGAAAGCTCCAGGAAAGGGACTGGTGCCAGCGCCAAGGTGATCTCACTGCATGGGGCTGTGATGGCTCTGGATCTCCTCAGGATTGCTCTGAGGAGTCTGATCCCCCCAGTGCTCTTCCAAGAGGGATCTGACTGTCCTGTACTGCTCCAAGAGGGGTCTGAGCCCAAAGTGCTGCTTGGAGGGAGGGGTCCGACACCCCCCACACTAATCCAAGAGGGGTCTGACCACCCTGTACTGCTCTGAGAGGGGTCTGTCCCTCCCAATCCTGCCCCTAGAGCAGTCCCCCCACACTGCCCATTTTACAGGACAGGCAGTGCTGGTTTGGAGGTGCACAGACAAGGATGAGGAGCTCCCCTGTTCCCCTGGGTCAGCCCCGCACGCCCACCTTGGCTTTTTGGGGCACCTCAGCCC